GAGGCAAAATCTTTAAACTGAAGGTACCTTACAGATAGAGAAAGCTGGTCCCAAAATAACCACGCTCTGTAATAATTTACCACACACTCATTAGCGCAGTTCCATGTAAATAAATGTCAGAATTAACACATGTCGGATCAGAAGCGTTTGGATCACCCCGACGTTTTAGATCTTATCATGATCAACAATCTGGATAACATTGAACACCTGGTGTCATCACTTATTTTCGGTGTTTCCTTTACATAATTTTAACAGATATTTGCCCTTTGCACAAACGTTTGGATCCCGGTTAGAACAGGTCTTCAGCAACCCATGCTTGTCGAAGGAGACGACTAACGGGATCGGGTGGTCAGGCACTCTGACTTGGTTGATGCATGTCATCGTATCCCAATTGCGTTGGTCAAAGCTCATGATGTCAATCACAGGATTGTCTGATCCAGACTCGATTATTTACAGACTGCTGACATATAGCTGGAATATTGCTGAGTGCAGCGCTTAGCAACAACAAACAAACAAACAAAAAGAAAATAGTTCCTCCGAATTAACTCCAGAGATTGAGAGCGCGGCGCTGAAAACAAACAAACAAACACACGTTACACGTAATGTACTTTCATCTGCAGACAGTAAGCGGCTTATCCATGTTTATCGGTGTCGAGGGACCCCGTGTTTTTGTGTGTTTGAAATTTGACTTAGCATCAATCAGCCTTTTAGATTGATTTGCATAGACCACACACAATAAGTCATACAATGGTTGACTTCACCTTGTCTCAAGTGATTATTAAATTTACGGTAGGACGATAAGAGACGTGATCTCATGGGGTGAATACATAACACGTTACATGATATATACAAGGCAGTGTAACAAGGGATTTCAGTTGAAAAAGATAGATACACGCTAAATGAGCACCTGCTCAACCATGAGTAACTGAGGACGATTACAAGCCCTTTCCCCACAACAGTTGTTGTAATCTGAGTCGGGTATGAAGTCTGGGTTGGGGCATCAGGTTCTACTTAATTTGCCTGGGCACGTATTGAAATTATGCATGACAGTTCCGAACCGCACTTGGAGCGGTATCGAGTGTCTCAATGATCTGGTTATATTTTCAGTGCATACTATTCATTGGGCCACCTATGACAAAAGACCCGTGAGGATCCGGGGTAGAATAGGTCTTCAGCAACTCATGCTTGTCGTAAGAGGCGACTAACGGAATCGGGTGGTCGGGCTCGCTGCCTTGGTTGATGCATGTCATCGTATCCCAAATGTGTGGGTCAAAGCTCATGGTATCAACAGTGTATTGTCTCGTCCAGACTCGATTATTTACAGACCGCCGATATATAACTGGAATATTGAGTGTGGCGTTATACAACAAACAAAACAAACAAACAAACCTGTGACAAAAAGTAATTTTTGGCCCATATGTAAGGACGAATATATGATAGGATGGATGAAGTTTTCAAAAAATTGTTCTGTATGTAGGACGTGTTTATCTGGTCTTTTCAACACGTTGATGTTTTGGGTCTGGCGCAGGAAGTGTTTTCAAGGATGCTGTTAGACACGGAATAGATACTCCTCTCCTCTGATGAGCCGAACGATGCATACTGACGACAGATCAACTATGCTTCATTTGATGTGCAATAAAAATACATTAATTCTTCAAATTAAATAATGCATGTTTCCATTGGTATTCATGTATACATCTCTTTCACTTCAGGTTCGTGATTCACAGTTTGTACGTGCATGTTTTTTTGTTTTTTGTTTTATAATATTTTTTATTCAATTCAGTATATGACATTACAGAGTAATACATGGAGTAGCACGTCTTTTGGCATACTTGCTAGGTATAGGTTACCTATACAGCAGACAGCAGGTCAGCAAGTTTAAGTTCGCTACAGGTGTCCATCAAAGTTTACACATGGTGAAACCGGGCAAATATTTGCCATATTTATTAACTAAGTGTGGAGCTTAATCCTTACAAATTGGTTGTGTAAAAAATAATATATTAAAAAAATAGAGACATATTAACTAGACAGTTCATTTGCCAAATTTTTCCATTTTCTGTCAAACTGTCTTATTGTATTGTTTTTGTGTGCATGTTAATGCACTGCGGTTCTTTAGGAGCATGATACTCACGCACGTAGGTTTTTGCATGTGAACAGAATACAATTATTGTTTTGCTGTCAAGTGATGATAAAAACATTATTTCTAAACGTGTGCTTGCTGCAAATCCACGTCTACGCCCCGCGTGTATACAACAAACAGGAATGGAGCAAAATAAAGTTGTCAGAAATTTTAATTTTCATCTAAACACAATATCAACTCTTTGGAGACATTATCTACAGCAGGGCAACTCAAAACTTGCCATGGACTGGTCGTCCACGTATGACTTCACATCAATAAAACAACCATATTCGGTTGTTGCATCTACGGAATCGATAGCAAACTACCACATTAACAGCTTGGGCAATTCCAGGGTTGAGACCAGGAACTGACAGAACCGAACGTAACTGGTTGAGGGAGCACGACATCCGGCCCAGATGTCCATCGATACGCCCGTTTGCTTCCACGTCACCGTCAGGTATGCTTATCTTGGTGTAGACAGCATCTGGGGTTCAGAAGACAGGACCGGGTCAGTAAACTATTCACAGACGAGTCCAGGATTCATCTGGACAGCTGTGATGATCATGCAGGGATCTACAGGCGTCCATGAGAACGTTTTGCGAAGCATACGATACTCAATATCGTCAGTTTGGGGGTGGAAGTGTAATGGTATCAAGTGGCATCACAACTTATGGGAGAACGCAACTCGCCATTGTTATTTGCAATTTGAAAGGTGTACGTTATCAGGAAGACATCTTTCGAAGCCATGTTCTACCCTTTGTGTAAATATAAGGACGAATCGTCACGATGCAGCTGGATAATGCCCGCCAACGCGTTGCACGTGTTGTAACAGACGTTTTGAACACAACAATGCTGTACTGCCATGTCCGGTGGTTTCTCCAGACCTCTCCCCTGTAGAACTTGTCAGGGATGAGATGAAACGACGCCTACGACAGGACCAGCACCAGCCGGTAATGCTAGCTCAGTTGGACCAATCTTTGGTTGACATTGGAAACAACATCCCCAGGCTGTTTCAAATCATCCGGTGTCTTCATTGCGCCGCCACTGCCTCGCCTGTATCAACGCAAATGGTGGTCACACCCGATATTGACATTGTTATTGTAGGTCGTGTGGCTCTGTCTCCTGTCTCCTGTCTCCTGTTTCCTGTTACCAGGCATGGGTTCAACATTGATCAGAGGAATGACCGAAGTATCATGTTATTACTTTCAACAACAGTATCATGTTGTTACTTTCAACAACAGTATCATGTTGTTACTTTCAACAACAGTATCACGTTGTAACTTTCAACAACAGTATCATGTTGTTACTTTCAACAACATGATATTAACTCTTTCATTAACATAATATTTACACTTTCATTTAACATAAACATTTACACTTTCATTAACATAACATTTACACTTTCATTAACATACCACTTACACTTTCAGTAACATAACATTTACACTTTCAACAACATAACATTTACACTTTCATTAACATAACATTTACACTTTCATTAACATAACATTTACACTTTCATTAACATACCACTTACACTTTCAGTAACATAACATTTACACTTTCATTAACATAACATTTACACTTTCATTAACATAACATTTACAATTTCATTAACATAACATTTACACTTTCAACAACATAACATTTACACTTTCATAAACATAACATTTACAATTTCATTAACATAACATTTACACTTTCATTACATAACATTTACACTTTCATTAACATAACATTTAAACTTTCATTAACATAACATTTTACACCGCCTAATATTAAGCACAGTTACGTTTTTCCGCTAGTATATTTTTTCTCGCAACACACTTTTCAGGTCGTTTCATCATATTTTGTGGATACGTTTATTGTTGTTGAGTCCAAAGAAACTTGTTCAGCATTATCTGAAAGGAATGTTATTGCAATAACATCCCACCTCACCCACCCAAACTCCAACACACAATCACACAACACATATTCCCCTTCCTGACGTTCATAGCACCAATTCTTGTTGTTAAGTGTCGATTCCCTAATTGAAACAATATGTAAACCCTGAAATCTGTTCGTAAAAGAATTCAGTGTGAAACCAACAAATATCCAACATATGGTATGCAATCAACAATTGTACAACAAAATTACCTAGGTTTACAGATCAATACACACTTCTGCACAGCAATTACAATGACAGCACACAATAGAGTGGAATTATTCAATGGAAGTATGAAATGTGAGCAATGGAAATGACAATGATAAGAATAATAATCACCTCGACCCAACACTGGTCACGCTTCCGAGATAGGCTTCGGATGACCACCAGGATGAAAAGCGATCTTTACAAGAAATCTGGTCTTGATGTAATGTCAGATTAAATGTCCGATATGGCCTTCCAGAACTTTCCACACAGTGCCAGTCCTGTCTAGTCACAAGAACACCACAGAATATTCCACATGTTTCAATGACGCCTGACATCCATCCTTGCTATTCCGGAAGTTTAAACATCACACTAGCCAAGCTCCTCACAGCGATATCCCGTTCGCGGAGCTCTCTATACTATAGAGTGTAACGAAGGTGTCACGCGCTGGGAAGGAGCTTGCACCCTAGCATCTAAATATAGTAATTTCCTCACCACTGCTAACATTAAATAGTACTACATTCCTGAAATCGAATCGTCTAAATACACTTCAGTGAGCTTCTACTGTATTTCAACAGAAACAATGTAATACAGTGAAATCATTGACTAACAATAAATTAAACTGCCATATGACATTTTCTAAAAATATTTACAGTGGGCCAAGAATTTCCTTTTCAAATCTCGCCCATCCAATTACTTAATTATTCATTCAATAATGTGTAAACCTTACAGTACATTTGACACTTACAGTATTTGAAGTAGCATGGAAACTGCACTGTCCGTGATGACCTTGTTCCACAACCTTCTGCCTACTGACCTTCACCCTGAAGCCTCGTTCTCAGCTGCTCACTGTGTAAACACCTGCTACTACAACCGGACATGCGCATCAGTGTTCTATGACAGCATCCTCAAGCTGTGCTACCAGAGTAACACCTGGTTTGATGACAAAGTAGCCGGCCTAACAACCCAAATTGGAGTTTCTTACGTCATTTTTAGAAGATGTAAGTAAAACTTGAACACATAGTCAGTAAGCAATTATGTACGGGTTGTGGTGTTGCAATATAATATCTTTAGCTGACTTGTTTAGAAGAACCACAATATTTGTTTCTCTAGTTCTGTAACTGAGTGAGTGAGTTGGTCTTAACGACACTTTGAACAATATTCCAGTTATATCACTGTGTGTCAGCGGGAAAGCCCGAGGTTATGCAGGCCAATTTAGCGAAACCCACGATCACGAACATAGTGCTGACAAACCTAGAAACATAATGGGGGTGAACAGGTTTTCGAACGCACGATCATAGGTTTCTGGCGTACCCAAAGGACGCAACATTAATATGCATGGCGTCTGGTTCCAATATTTCATGTATGTTGTTGATGCTCTACAACCATGCCGGCTTTTGAAGACACTTTAGGCGTTGAATATGTAACAGCATAATGTTCAGAGTGTCAGCTTAATGTGAGAGGAAAGCCCGAAGTGATTCAGGTGTCAGACGTTTACCACTTCGGGGAAACCCCCGAGCACGGGTATGCTGCTGACAAACCTAGAAACATAATCGGGGCGAACCGGGATTCGAACCCACAATCATAGGTTTCTGGCGTGCCCAAGGGACGCAACTCTGCACAACGAATCGCGGCGCCTTAGACGACTGGGCCGCACGTGCCCCCTTCTATGTTATGACGTTGGTATGACATGCGCCAAGCGGTCTGGTTTTCCATTTGTTGTTTTCACTGTTAACTTAATACTTCTTCTATTCATATAACTTACTGAGTATAAATCTTCACATTTTGTATGAATCTGTATGAGTATCGCGGATCCTGACGACTCCAGGGGACACAACTTTGCCTGGCCAGTTCTATTTACCGATCATACCCTTATACTCATGAATGAAAATGTGGAATCCATGACGGTTCAGACCCGTGAAGATTCCGGGGTAGAATAGGTCTTCAGCAACCCATGCTTGCTGTAAAAGGCGACTATGCTTGTCGTAAGAGGCGGCTAACGGGATCGGGTGGTCAGGCTCGCTGACTTGGTTGATGCATATCATTGATCCCAATTGCGTGGATCGATGCTCATGATATTAATCACTGGATTGTCTGGTCCAGACTATTTACAGACCGCCGTCATATAGCTGGAATATTGCTGAGTGCGGCGTTAAACAACACACCAACCAACCAACCAACCATAACGGTTCATTACTTGCGTTCCAGTGGATTGTCCGATGGGATGGACATTTTATAAACCTGCAGCCAAGTGCTTTAATCTCAATCAGACGAGGAAGTCGAACTCTGATGCTAAAAGTTCCTGTGTGGCAAACGGTGGACGACTTTTCAACATTCACTCTGCTGAAGAAAATGCAGTTGCTGAAACAGTGATGAAACGACAAGGTGAGAGAGTTAGTGGGTTATTGTCCTGCTCCGGGCAGTATTTCAGTCCTTTCCCGGCGTAGCAGCGTAATATAGGCATGTCTTTGACGTCAACCACTTTAGCGAGTGAGTTGAGTTTATCGCTGCTTTAAACAGTACATCATTTCTATCACGGCGTGTCAGCTTAATGTGGGAAGCCTGGAATGATACAGATCTCGACCATATAACAATTTGGTTGGTTGGTTGGTTGTTTTGCGCCGCACTCAGCAATATTCCAGCTATATGAAGGCGGTCTGTAAATAATCGAGTCTGGACTACACACTCCAGTGATTAATGTCATGAGCATCAATCCACGTCATTGGGATCAATGACATGCATCAACTAAGTCAGCGAGCCTGACCACCCGATCACGTTAGTCGCCTTTTACGACAAGCATAGTCACCTTTTACGGCAAGCATGGGTTACTGAAGACCTATTCTACCCCGGAATCTTCACGGGTCTATAACAATTTGGTGAAACCCACAGACCTAGAAACATATTCGGGGCTAAACAGGATTCGAGACCAGGATCATTGTTTTTTTGTCGTGCCACAGGACCAAACTCTGCGGCTCCTAAGACATCATCTGGGCCAGCACTGCTCCCACCACTCTAGTGACACCCAGACAGCACAGACCGCTTCCGTGGTCTAGTGGTAGAGCGTCCGCCCGGAGAGTGGAAGGTCCGGGGTTCGATCCCCGACCGCGTCATACCAAAAGACGTTAAAAGATGGTACTTGTTGTTACCCTGTCTGGCGCTCGGCATTAAGGGGCTAAAACAAGGACTGGTCGGCTCGGAGTCAGTAAACTGTGTCTGAGTGGGGTATTCATGTTAAACTGCGGCATGGTATCTCAGTGAACTATAAATCGGCATCAGTCCGGACTAGTACAAGCAGCCACACAAACATACACACGTACATGCACGTCGCTATATAAGTGCAATAATCTTGGACATGACGTTAAACCCCATTTAACCTCACCTCACCAGACAGCACGGGCACGGTGCTGACATACAAAGAATCAAAATCCCAATAATAGGGTTCAAGTACTCCCAAGGGATTCAAACTAAGCACAGTGAATTGCTGCGCCTTAGGGAAGTTATCCACCACTGCCGAACCACTATGATTGATAGTCAGGTCTATGCATTCACAATATACTACTACAAAGGCATATTTAGAAAGCAATTCTGAATAATGTTCCAAAATGTAAACGATACAATAGTATCTTGATTTTTTAATGTTTGAAACAGACATATTTAATGTAATTTGAAAAAACATTTTCTCGTGCATTTTTCAAAGGGTCTGGCGTTTGGATCGGACTACAGAAGGGGGAGTCTTGGACATGGCATAAGGGCACCGACGTGGACTACACCTACTGGTCATCTCCAAAAGGAGGTGGCCAATGTGCTACGTTTAGTAAAACAGCCAAAAAGTGGCTCACCAAAAAATGCGGTTCTCCATTTCCTCATCTTTGTGAGATTGTCTTACAGAAGGGACAAGACTATTGTGCTGTTCCCTGAGAACGTCAACTGTTTCACAATGACAAGCTTGTTTTTCTGTGCTTGGCTTCTTATCAATTTGTCAATTTAATTAAGCTATGGTGGTGGCTGATCTGTTAACGACTGGTATCATCACCATATATATAACATATTATTGAGTGAGTGAGTGATTTGAGTAAACGCTTTAAACAGTATTACAGTTATATCGCGGCGTGTCAGCTTAATGTGGGAGGAAGGACCCAAGTGATGCAGGTCTCAGACATTTACTACTTCGGTGAAACCCACGAGCACGGGAATGGTGCTGACAAATCTGGAAACATAATCGGGGCGAACAGGGATTCGAACCCACAATCATAGGTTTCGGGCGTGCCCAAGGGACGCAACTCTGCACAGCGAATCGCGGCGCCTTAGACGACTGGGCCACCCGTGCCCCCAACTTATTAATGCATTGCATTATTGTTCGTGGCAATGAAATAGCTTACACCATCTTCCCAAGCAAGGGAGTTAACTGACTATAAAAGTCCAGTTTCCACCTTTGTCGAACTAGGCTGGAATTATGGAGTTATATTTTGGCTGGACTTACGAGTCTATATATAGCCCAATCAAAATCGCGTTACGAAATCGACATCCGGGTCGTAAACTGCCGTGCAGACTGCAGGATTTGCATAGCATGTGTACCGTTAACTCGTTGTCAACAGATATTTTCCAAATCTTTTCATGTTTTTAATCTAGGTGCTGACGCGATTTGATTCACTTCGCAAGGTAAGATCCGTTTTATTACAATATAGATCTTGATTATCGGTCGGATCGTTTTGATAGGGCGCTGCCATGTTGCTTGAAGCAAATTCAAGTGATATGAGAGTAGGAATCTGATTGGTCAATAGGTGGGACATAGAAGGGACATCAATACGATCGAGCCCAGACATTCCAGCCTAGTTCGGCAAGGGTGAAAACTGAACTTTTATAGTCAGTTAACTCCCTTGCCTCGGGAAGATGAGCTAGCACAGCATACACACACAACGTCTGACGGCTGCGATGGCAGAGTTGCATCCTGTGGACACGCCAGAAACCTTAGGTCGTGCTTTCGAATCCCAGTTCGCTCCAACTATGTTTCTAGAGCTCTAAGCACCATATCCGTGCTCGTGGATTTCACCAAAGTGTTAAACGTCTGAGGCCTGCATCACTTCGGGTTGTCGTCCCACATTAAGTTGACTATTATACTTGTATCGAACGTTAATTAGGGCCAGTATCTACAAATGTATACATAATGAAGTGAAAAGACGTCATTTTGGAGGGAGATGAACTTACTGTGTTTTCAAGAAGTTTCGATCGTGGATCGACTTGGACACATTTACAGGTTTCGAATCTTTGTTTAAACCCTTGGATTGAGACAATAGCACATTTGTCACCATTGTACCACGATACAGTGACACAATAAACTCGAATTACTCTTGGTAAATGTGTGGAGTCGTATGTTTTTGGTTTAATCTCATGTTTGATCGGGTTGAACGGTCGAATTCAGTGACCAATGAGGGCTCGTTTTAATACGCACATGCTTGCTTGCCTTTTTGTAAAGTATAAAGGGAACATGATCGGGAAGAACTTTAGATTCACTTCCATGACCAGCAAATCAGCTCAGCCACTTGTCATGACGTAATTTATACAAATGTGAACTTCATGATAACCATTACTTGATGAAATCTCTCAGCAACTTGCTAGGGCTGTATCAGATTTTGCTGAACCTCCCCATTGTGTTGAGTAATTTATTTTGCAGAAACTCACGATTGTTTGGAGTATTTTTTATGCACCCCGCACCCCCCTCCCCTCCCCCCCCCCCCCCCACACACACAGACCCACCCCCACCCCCTTAAATGATCAGTGTCTAATTAATGTATAGTTTTGTTTATTTAGCTGTGATACGTTTTGCAAATGTGAACTTTACGATAACCATTACTTGATGAAACCTCTCAACCACTTGCTACGGCTGCATCATATTTTGCTGAAACCCACCATTGTATGTAATTTTTTATGCAAACTTCCCCCCAGCATCCCCAACCCCACCCCTCACGGAATCTGTGTAAATGATTAGCGAGAAACCAAACATCTAATATATGCTTTGATCCCCTTTACAAAAAGCCAAAAACTTGTGGTGACATGTCGGTGAAATTTAAATGCGTGAGAAATATTTTTTCGGCAGTCGGGACGGTTCAGGAAACTGAAGAAGTCACTTCTTTACCTTCCATGCTTAGAAGGCGTTTGACCCATTCGCGCCTTCGTGGACACGGGTGATCCAGACGTCTAGTGCACCGTAAGTCGTTGAGTTGCGTCCCGAAGGTTTGCAGGGTCCCTGTCATCGTGGGTTCGAACCCAGATTCATCCTGAAAAAGATCCTTGGTACGTCAGCACCTTACTCATACTTGATCAAGTGATAAACGCATAACATGTACATCATATCTCCAACATAAACGCAGACAGACAGATGTATTTCAGTTTTTATGCCATCGGCCGATAATACATATTTGAATAACAAAAAAGGTTGAAGCGCAGATAAACATATTTACAATTGAACGTTCAAAGCAGAGTTCACCCCTAATGTAAATTAAAGGCATGTCACAAGAAATTGACACACCCTACAGGTAGCGTTGCTGCTCAATATTGATCCGGCCTTGACATGAGGGTTGTTGTTGACATATTGGACAAACTATAGCAAATTCGGACACTTTTGAAAGCACCACAAATCACTTTCGTTGCTCCTGCTACATATTTCTAATAAACATATACTCATGCATTTTTTAAACACGGATCCCGACCTGGCATTATCCAGACGATAATCAACGAAGTAAACCATCAGGACGATCCCAATGCTTACGAAGCTCATAATTTATCTTATACATTCAAAGACGCACCATAAAACTCACAAAGCATTGATGATACCCAACAATCTGTCTCCTCAAATGACAACATCAAACGGCATTATTCAGATGGTTCTGTGGATAGTTACTTCAAACACAAGGGAGCATGGTTCATTCAACACATACATAGTGAAAGCAAGATCTTCTTTCTACTTCATCCAAACGTATGAACTAACTCTGTTTTGTTAACTTGGTTTACACTCAATACATTATTCAGCTCACAATATTCACCTAGACATGGCAACATGTATTTCAAGTCTGACCCAGGCATTAGACGTGTTCAAAACCGCTGGGTTGGTCTCGAAAAAATAGTGGTGAGGTGAGGTGAAATGGGGTTTAACGTCGCGTCCAAGATTATTGCACTTATGTAGCGATGTGCATGTACGTGTACGTGTTTGTGTGGCTACTTGAACTAGTCCGGACTGATGCCGATTTATAGTGCTAGCTCACTGAGGTACCATGCCGCAGGTTAACATGAATACCCCACCCAGACACAGTATACTGACTCCGAGCCGACCACTCCTTGTTTTAGCCCCTTAATGCCGAGCGCCAGACAGGGTAACAACAAGTACCATCTTTTAACGTCTTTTGATAAGACGCGGCCGGGGATCGAACCCCGGACTTCCGCTCTCCGGGTGGACGCTCTACCACTAGACCACAGAGGCGGTTGAAAAAATAGTAAAACTAGAAACACAATCTATCTAAAATTTATCAGAATTCAAATGAAAGAAGAGGGGTTATTTCTCACCCCACTATGACCCACTTCATACATGACGTAACTATTTTTTGCCTTTATTTCAGAAATAAACGACGAGTGGGAGTTGTTTATCGTATACTCAAACACTGCATGGAGAATAAACCATGAGGGGGACAGCCCCGAGTGGTTTATTCTCCTTGCATTGATTCATTGTACGATAAACAACCACAACGAGTCGTTTTTTAAATATGAGAAATCAACATTATGTACAGCCTCTTTAAGGAAGATGTACAAGCTTGAACAATATTTACCGGTATTTAAATAATGACTCCCTGAGTGCGACCTCGGAAATGTAGGACAAGTCCATTTCATGAACAGATGGGTTTGGTATTGGTATTCCCCGCATATTCTCACAATCCTCACGTCGATTATCTGTATCATTTCTCCCAATACCAATTGTCATGTCTCTCCCACTTTGGGATGCGATCGTTCGGCAACAGCGTTTACCCAGCTAAGTCTATGGGGAACAACTCACTAGACATTCTAAAATAACGTCTTCCAATATACGTCATGAAGTTGCAAGCGCATGTTTGATCTCAAGAAATGACGTCATGAAAAAACAATGTTTTATCGCTTTGTACCTCATGTACATTTTGAAAGCTTTACTGAGGCCTTGAATGTTGTAACCTTGATCAAACAACTTAAAAAATAATTGCTGGGTTAGACATTACATTGCCATGGAATCACAATTTATTTACCAACTACGTGAGGTAGTAATCAGACTCCGTGTACTGAAACAAACATGGTTACCACATTCCATAGAAGTTAAAGGTTTGGTCTGCATATCCGAAAATCCAATAATTAAATGTAGAAAACCTATCCCCTTGTGGTGCTTCTAACAATCTTCAATACACTCAGGTTTCAAAAGTAGTTATGGTACTACCAGTATTTACCTTAGATACAAGGAACGCGCTGTGCTGTGTAATCAGATAACACGCTGCAGTGTGAAAGGTAGGTGCATAAGTGATATTATTATGTGTACCTTTTCGTGAGGGTTTTGACGGTTTTCCTTCTTGCTTTTTGTCAATTATTTCCAGAAATAATACCAGTTTACCACAGATCACATAGTATTTTGGACTAAGATTTTTAGAGTACTGATTCACCATGTGACCTTCAGTTTTTATAACCTTCAATTTGGCTGTACCATAATTGTCAAAACAACAAAATCTTGGAAATTCCGATTACCGAGAAACCCAACATATGGAATGATCTTTGATCCACTTATGAAAGACAAGCCAAAACCACTAGGAAAGGAAACATGAAATGGGGTTTAATGTTTATTGCAATATTTTGCGACATGTATGCACGCAGACACAGGAAGCTGACTCCGACCAGTCCTTGTTTTATCCCCATAATGACAGCGTCAATCATGGTACAACAGCAAGTACTATCATTTATCGTCTTTAGGTATGACAAGGTAGGTGATGGAACCACTCACCCTCCCCTCTCCGTTGAGACCCCCTATCCATTAGAATACGGATGCCGTCCACTGGTATAGGTATTTGTTTGTTTATTGTTTAACCAGCTATATGACGGCGGTCTGTAAATAATCGAATCTGGGCCAGACAATCCAGTGATTGATATCATGAGCATCGGTCCACGCATTTGGGATCGATGACTTGCATCAACCAAGTCAGCGAGCCTGACCACCCGATCCCGTTAGTCGCCTCTTACGACAAGCATAGTCACCTTTTACGGCAAGCATGGGTTGCTGAAGACCTATTCTACCCCGAATCTTCACGGGAGTAGAAACAATACGTGTAGGCAATTATTATTGTGTCCATATGTAGTTGGTTGTTTTATATAAGTGGTAAATGTCTGGTCCGTTCAAAGGCATGGCTAATGATGTGCGACTTCAGGAAACAAACAAGCACTAACCTTTTCTATGCAAAGTGTGTGAAAGGCGGGTGCTAACGGTAGACAGGACATTCTTACGCTTATCATCACTGTGTTTCAGGGATCCATTCACATAATTTACACTGCTATTTTGCCTTTTGCGCCCAGCGGATCCTGTTTTATGGATAAACGAAACTGTTTTTTTTCTGGGGTTGACTATCTATATTAACTCCAACCAACTATGAATGAAATACTGATCCACACAGAGCTCACTCAACTCACTGTTACACTTGCCTGTCCTTTCGTCACAAAAATGTCTACGCTTCAATACTGACGGCCAAACCGTTACCATAAAAAGGCCAATGTGTAATTTTATCTGTCAGTACATACCTTTGATACTGAAGAGCATTTAAGTGTGGGTTAAAATTTAACGTCACATCGACATTATTCCAACCATAAAGTGACGAGAACAAGTGTATATCTTCACGCTTGTCATAAATACGAAGTCATATTTAACAATATTATTTTCAAACACGGGTTATAAGCCACAGCAACCAAAGCTAGGCCACCTCGCTGGACATCAGAGGGTCTTAAGGTGCCTTAGCTTCCTGCACGATACCCCAGCCACTGGTGGTTGTGCACAATACTAATCAATATATAAAGAAAATGCTCAGCAATGAGTTGGCTGATACTGGTTGATGATAGATACTTCCTGGACAGAGCCTTTGGCAATACCTGTTGATAAAATCAGAAATTCTGTTCATGCACTTGTTATCCATGTATGTCTTTTTTAGGTCAACGTGTCATGGAAACTACGCTGTCAGTCACCGTCTTGTTCCACAACCTTTTGTCTACTGACCTTCACCCTGAAGCCTCGTTCTCAGCTGGTCACTGTGTAAACACCTGCTACTACAACCGGTCATGCGCATCAGTGTTCTATGACCGCAGCCTTAAGCTGTGCTACCAGAGCAATCTTTGGTTCGACGAAACCGTCGCAAGCCTCAGTGCAAGACAAAGTGTCTCTCATGTTGCTTTCAACAGGAGTAAGTATGTCAGGAAACCTTCTGAAGTAGGGGAGTAACAGTTCATCTGCATGCACCAGTAATGCGATAGCTAAATTGGCGACGCAATACATAGATGGACAAGTGATAATGACATGTGACGATACACGCAACTGCCTTTAATCGTAGCAGCAAAATTTGGACACTAAAGAGAGATAAAGAGTCTGATAAGCTTTTCATTCCATGTTGGGGGCGGTCGGGTAGCCTAGTGGTTAAAGCGTTCGCTCGTCACGCCGTAGACCCGGGTTCGATTCCCGACATGGGTACAATGTGTGAAGCCCATTTCTGGTGTCCCCCGCCGTGATAATACTGGAATATTGCTAAAGCGGCGTAAAACCATACTCACTCACTCACTCATTCCATGTTGAGTCGGTACAACGCATCTGGAAACGATCACTTATAATGACGTCTGTAAATGCTCGAGAGGCTGATGTGGGCTGTGCGAAATCAATATTGAAGTGAATGTATTGTATAACTGTTCTACTTGGTGTTTCAGGCGACTGTCCGAGTCGATGGATATATCACAAACCATCGTCGAAGTGTTTCAGATTGAACACAAAAGCTCGGTCATATACTGCAGCTATGAATGAGTGCGAGGCCGAAGGAGGGCGGCTCTTCAATATCTATAGCATCTTGGAGGATAAAGTCGTCTTAACACTTGTGCTCCGTGCTGGTATGATAATATTACGTAGCATCTTTTTACACCAAACTACACGCTGGTATCCGAATTGACACCTTCGTCTTAAAGAAAAAACTTCCATCTATGCTGTTGGAAGTTGGAAGTCCTCCTTCTTACCATACATTCTTGTAGATACTCTACTGTCGCTTTGAAACTGTATGAATATATGTAAATATGAATCAGATGAGGCGGTTGCAATGGTTTCTTATTTCTAGTTCAGGTGGGTAAATCAGTGGAAGGGGATTGGCTATTTGACCATGTTTGAATGACTGATCAGATCATCATGATATCAATATACCTGTTAGGAAATGTTCTTGCCTCGTATGCATTATAGACAGTTCAGCAAAAAGGGGAGCACACTTTGTGTCCATGGTATGCTTCTTATCCATATTTCATACCACAATTTCACATAGATGTTATCAATGAGGAAGTCCAGCATTTCACAATTTTTTTTCTCAGTAAGCTTCAAATTACATATGCTTTCATTTTTTATAACCCACCCTCAGTAGAAAAGCTCCTATTCACATTGCCACGTCAATTAATACTGCCTATAATGGGTCTTTCATTAACCTGTGCTGGTCGTAAAAGTCAGATGAATTTATTGGGTTGTCAGCATCGGCAACTTGATGGCGTGTCATCGTACCCTGATGTCGTGGGACGTTGGTAAAAACGTCAAGCACGTGTATGTCTGGTCAAATAACTGGAAAAATGTGGCATCCATCAATGCACCAACACGTCTAGCTCCAACACCTCGCCCCTACTCCCACAATCCAATCCTTCTCACGCTCCCACAACCAACATTGTGTTACATATTTATATTTCCTCAGGATCTGGAATGTGGATCGGTCTAAAAAAGGTGGACGGGGTGTGGAAGTGGCACAATGGCACAGCTATAGGCTATACACACTGGTATTCAAGCAGTTCTGGCAACTGTGTCTTGATGCACGGCGCATTCAAGGAATGGTTTGGTTATGGATGCAATTATGCTCGTATGTCGTTGTGTGAGCGGGTCCTCCAGAAGCAGGACTTGTGTACCATCTAATGTCGATTTTGGGGTTCATTACTTCATGTTTCATCATCAACTATTTTGGGTACCTATGATCATCATCCTGTCCCGGAAGAACCACACAACGTCAAGTCTGACTATTTGCAAGAAATCTCTTTTCTTAAACCTAGCATCAAAATTCTGAGCTTTAAGAGTAGAAAGATAAAACAAATCGCCATTTGAACTGAGCGATGTGAAACGTGGCACTAAGCAGGCCAAGTTTGATGACAATTGTGCTGAAATTGTGCAGAAGCCTCCTTCACAAACATCACAAAACCACCCATGACATCATGCAGTACCGTTGCAGCAAACGTTGACCAATAGCACTTCCGTCGTGGCCCGGATAGTTATAGGACATATGAAGTTCGGGGGGCACGGGGGGGCCCAGTCGTCTAAGTCGTCCCTTAGGCACGCCAGAAACATATGATTGTGGGTTCGAATCCCGGTTCTCCCCGATTATGTTTCTAGGTTTGTCAGCACCATACCCGTGCTCGTGGGTTTCACCGAAGTCGTAAACGTCTAAGACCTGCATCACTTGGGGCTTTCCTCCCACATTAAGCTGACACGCCGTGATATAACTGGAATAATGTTAAAAGCGGCGTTAAAACCAACTCACTCACTCACTCACTCACTCACTATAAAGTTCAACTCCACAGAACGAAACACACGTAAATTTGACATCATCTAACACGGGAACACTGACAATAATCGCGTTCGTTTTCTGATTTTTAATGTTTGTGGCTTTAGAAGTAACATCACTACATACTTAGCATTTTATTAATCGTGGAAACCTTAACTGGTGAATATCATAATGTGTGTCTCAAGATAAGCAAAACTGCCTGGACAAGAGATATAACAGTGGATAGTGATGTTTCCCTCGAGTCACGTCCTTCCCTGACCTTGATCATATGTCATCACATGGATTTGTTTGTGATGATTATGTCCGAAGCAATTTTCTGTGTTGACTTGTATCACGTTCACATGTTGGTTTAGGTGAAAAATTGACTTGCCTTTGCAAGTGTTTGTGATGGTGCAACCGGTTGGTAGGATACGCTCATCTTTTCTCAAACACCTGGTATTATCATAATATGATTGTGATTTATGAACACATGGAATCTACTTCCAGCAGAGATTTCTTATTAATATGAAAATAATTTTGTCGTTTTTATTAATGTTCAATAAACTCCTTATAACGCTGTTTTCGGGCGGTCATTTTGCTGTGTATATATTAAGAGGTCGATATGTTGCATATACTTTACTGAAGACTTCTGTATGGATGCGTTATTGAACGTGTACATTGCTGTGTTTACATTAATGAAGGGATGGATTGGTGGATGTTCTAGGTTGAACTAGGATTGGGTGGTCAGCCTCGGTGACTTGCTTGAGTGCATCCCGACTGCGTGGATCAATACTCATTATGTCAATAGGTGAATTATCTTGCCCAGACTTGATTATTTAAATGCAACCTTTAAATTGTTGGCATGTCGCTCAGGGCGTCGTTAAAGGGGTTCTAAATTCTAATATCTACATCATGTCTCATCCAAATCCTGGTTCCAAAGAAGACGTTTAGAGACTGATCACCATTCATGTGATGAAGATGATGTCAGTTTCAAAGTAGCAAGAAACATGGGCAAGAATCTACAAATGGAGAGCTACATCCTGCAACTTGAACTAGTTTTGTCTAGATCTGTCACGCGCAGATTCAAACATTTATAATGAATTTGAATAGTCAGTCCATGATGAGTGAGTGAGTGATTGAGTGAGTGAGTTTGGTTTTACGCCGCTTTTAGCAATATTCCAGCAATATCACGGCGGGGGACACCAGAAATGGGCTCACACATTGTACCCATGTGGGGAATCGAACCTGGGTCTTCGGCGTGACGAGCGAACGCTTTAACCACTAGGCTACCCGACCGCCTCCAGTCCATGATGACCTTTGTGGAAGTGATCATTTTACTAAAGTAGTTACAAATAGGTACCACAACGATGATCCACCTTCCACAAGATGGAATTTTTCCAAGGCCAACTGACCATATATTTCAGACCACCTGAACTGACAAATTAAAATCAGACCTTTTTTAAGGATGTTCTCGATCCAATTCCGTTGTTCTCGAACAAACTGAAATTTGTAGCTGAGGAAATTATTCCTAAATTCTCTGTGAACCCACATATTCGTAAAACATGGTTTAATGACGACTAAAAACGGGCTAGGGGTGAAGGAGGAAGGCAGAGAAATAATTTCGCCGTCATCCTTCAGTTCATGATTTAAATAATGTAAAAATCAATATTGACGAGACTTGACATAATTTTGAAAACAATAAACACGAGACTTCCCAAACTTGTTTCACAAATAAATTTAGATTAACGCCCATCTATGTAACATGTATTGAACATGATCCAAAAAGTCGAAAGACAAGGTTCCAAATCTAGTTTTCATCATCTCAAAGATTATAATGATGTATTAACCAAAGCATCTGACATTGCCCAAAAATTGGCTGGAACTGAAAATTCTTCTTCATCTAATTATGATCCAATTTTTAGAAAGATCAGAAACAAGAGACGAAGAAAGTAAATATTTATTCTGATAATGGTGAAGATGATAAGGTGAGTGAGTGAGTTGGGTTTAACGCCGCTTTTAACAGTATTCCAGTTATATCACGGCGTGTCAGCTTAATGTGGGAGGAGAGCCCGAAGTGATGCAGGTCTAAGACGTTTACCACTTCGGTTAATCCCACGAGCACGGGTATGGTGCTGACAAACCTAGAAACATAATTGGGGCAAACCGGGATTCGAACCCACAATCATATGTTTCTGGCGTGCCCAAGGGACGCAACTCTGCACAGCGAATCGCGGCGCCTTAGACAACTGGGCCACCCGTGCCCCCCGAAGATGATAAGGAAGTATTATCAAGTATTATCATAATACTGTCCTAGCACTAGTCCATTGTCCTGCAGCAGGAGCTGGTATTATCCACTATCAGTTTTTGAATTTGTCTCAAGATTTGTAATATTTCGACAAAAATACACTTTCCTCTTGCGTGGCTTAATTCAAAAGGTGTTTTATACAAAAGTATGGCCTGGAACATACAGATTAATTAAACTGTCGACTTGTTGTATTTGTAAAGCCATGGGGCGCATTGCCAATATGCGATAAGTTTCCGTTTTAGAAACCCACAATCTAATAACTGATATTCAATGTTTTATCCTCAAAAACCAAAGTACAATTGACAGTTTGGTTCGTTAAGAATCATTCATTTAAATTTCCACGCTAAATAAACATCTTGCTGTATCTATCTTTTTCCATCTTGAAAACGAATATTTATGATACTACTGGGAAGCAGGCTATTTTAAAATATTTACATGACTTTGGATTGCAAAGCTGCTCGCTTTAATTCATATCCAATTCCAAGTTATAAACAAACTATTTCAAGCTCGTTTGGATTCATCCCTGTCTGATCATTATAATCAGGATCAGGGGATCGCACCAGGCAGTATTAAATCTGCCAGTATTTAGTATTAAACTTAACAGCCTGCAAATGTTTTAAATTTATACTGAATTGGTAGATTGCTTTTTGTAGATGATTTTACTATTTCTCGTTTTGATAAAAATATGCACACTATTGAAAGGCAATTGCAAATACTTCAAATAATATCCATAAATGATCTCTGGAAAAGTGGATATGATTATCTAAGACAAATTGTATTCAGTTTTGCAGAAAATATAAAAAGACTTAGAATTAACGAACATATTTTTCTCTTTTGGCAGCAGAAGTAACAAAAAGTTACCATATCGTTTTTAGTTTCAGCAAACTCAGTAAACGTATATTGATTCATAAAGACCCGCTCATGATATAGTCGGAATTGTACAATCGACTCAGCTTTTAGCTGAGATATTTTTTATAAATTTCGAAAGGGTTTTTATTCAATGTGGGCCAACAGTAACAAATATGGACCCCCGCTGTAGCCATTACAAAGCACTCTCGCAGAACATGATACATCCGTATACTTGAACACATACAAACATCTGTGTATTGTAAGCATGTACGAGTACATAAGAATATTTACACGACAAATAAAACATTTATCAATTAGATATAGCCACCCGAACGCTTATGAAACCAATATTTTACCACAGACTTACGCGCATGACAGAAGGTGCAGTGAACTCCTATGGTACTGTTAGCACCCGGTCACCCATAAGATCGATATATACATTATTTAAAAACACAAAGGATTGTCGTTTAATCAGCACAAGTACTGACGACATAAGACAAACAAAAAAAGATATTTTAGTACCCAGTGCTGATCATATTAATGCCTGAAACAAGTTTCTGTGGGAGGCTAAACTCAGCTGTTCTACAAATGTTACCGTATTCGACGTAATAAGCGCCCCGCTCTAATAAGCGACCACGGCGATATTTGCTAATATATTGGCTAGTGAACAATCCCAATTAGCACCCCTTCCGATTGATCAATGTACACATGACTTATTTATTTGTGTATAATACGTGTTATACGCATTCTTAATTTTGGACAATTAAACTCTGGAAAAATATATCTGTCGTATGTAAACATTTCAGGCTGTCGGCATAAACCACGAAATTTACGATCTATCAACTCTGTTTTTTCCACCAAAATAATATTCTAATAAGAGCCCCTATTTCTAATTTTGAGAGCGCATTAGGCGCTTATTACGTCGAATACGGTACTTTTCATCCACACAAATTGGTCGTCACGTCCGTATAGCAAATAATTAACAGCAGAAAGCCTTAATCCCGAATGGCTTTTTTACAAATTGTAATACACTTAAACTTCAGCTGTAATTATAGGACTAACAGGTCCTGTATTCAGACTGAATACAAACATAGCGCATTCAGATATATTCTGCAGAGTATAAAGGTAAGTGTATGAATAGTATTCTCCCCGTGGATTTCATCACAGCATAGTCTTTTGTTGGTGACAGCTTCCTTTTTCTTTCTGTCAATTAATTCCAGAAAATGTAAGTTTTATCTGAGGTCACTAAGTATTTTGGACCTCAAATAGTATATTTTCATTCAAATAACAATTTTGTCTTGATGCCGTCGATTTTCGTAACTTTACATTTGGTATTCAATTATTTAGTACTATTAGAAAAGGAAGCTCACGTTTAAGCCAGTAAAATGGTGAATATGTTGATCTTGTTTCATGCAATATTCAGCAATACGTCAAC